GGGAAGTAATTTTTTATGGTCATTTTTCTACCACACCTCTACTTCAAGGATAAAAGAAAGTCAATGTCCATCATTTGATGAACACTAACTGGTTAGCAGAGCTAGTTATTGCCAAGATGCATCCTAAAGGCACAGAATAGAAAAGGAACCTCATGTCTGATTATTCCCAGCATTGACACGTTGACTATGTCTGCACTGCAAGAAAATACCTGTAGCTAGCCTGTGTCAGCTGACTCAGGCCTGCAGGGCTCAGGCTAAGGGGCTGTTTAACTGCAGTGCAGATGTTTGGGCTCTGCTGCAGGCCGATCTCTGGGACCCTCCCACCTCACAGGCTCCTAGATCTCAAGCTCTAGCCTGAGCCTGAACAATCTACACTGCAAATAAACAGTCTGAGCCCCATGAACCCAAGTCAGCAGCCACAGGCCAGCTGTGGGTGTCTAACTGCAATATAGACATACTCTCAGGGCCCAGGCTGGAGCCCAAGCCCAAATATCTACTCTGCAGTTTTATAGCCCCACAGCCCAAGTCAGCTGCCATGGGCCAGCTGCAGGTGTTTTACTGCAGCATAGACACCCACTGGGAATTAAGTAATGGTAGCCACTCCCCCATAGCTCTCATTGTTGAAGTCTCTTTGTGGTATCATCTCAATGGTATTGCCGAAGAGCCAAATGCATCCCTGACTGGTTAAGGGAAGCGGACACTGGTGGTGCATCGTCAACTCTGGAATGCTGCTGAGCAGGGAAGGATTCCAGTGCAAGAGGGAGGTGGTGAATATGTGCGTGGAGGGGGAAGGGGGCAGATGCACTTTGTTTCTTTAAAAAGAAATAGCATTTGCCTTGTGTTAGCTTGCATGAATGGCATGCTAGAGCCTGCATGCTAACAGGGGCCAGACCCTTAGCTCCCAAGCCCTCTTGGGCGCATAGTGCGTCTGTCAGAATGGGAGTCAGTCCCCCTGGCTTAGCACTCTCTGGCATGCTCTGCAGAGAACCTGCCCTGCTGTTTAAACCATACAAAGAGGCTCCCTAATACCTTCTTCTCCATCCTCTCCTACCAAAGCATAGCAGGATTCATCAGGGTCTGTCCTCCCTGCCATGTAGCGTATGTGTAACTGCCATTAGACTCAATGGGGAGACACATGCACATGTAAGGGGAGAACAGACCATCACAGGATTATAAACAAGTCAAAGGACTACAGAATTTCCAATCCCAGACATCATATCCTACTCAGCACCGGTAGGAACATACTAATGACATCTCTTATTAGCACCCAGCATTCTGGGACTATGCGGCTGCATCCCATCTGTACTCGGGACCAGCAAGCCACTTCTTAGCCCTGGTCTACACTACAGAGTTAGGTCAACCTCACTCTGTAAGCGTCTATACTAAAATTTCACTCCCGCCTACGTAACTCGCCTGCTACGTGGATTTAATAACCCCACCACCACAAGAGACATAGAATTAATGTCAATGTAGTTAGGTTGACGCAGTGTCAGTGTAGACACCGCACTGCTTACAGTGACTGTTGCCAGCTTTCAGAGGCCATCCCACAATGCCCCACACTGACAGTTCAATCAGTGCAAGTGCTCCTGGTGAGGACGCACACCGCTGACACAAGGAGCATACTATGGACACGCACAAGCAATGTAATTGCCGCGGCGGCTGTATGCTGACATAATTTAGGTCGACATAATTGTATAGTGTAGACGTGGCCTAGTTAGAGAGTTAAAATACAAACCAATAGGTTTGTGTAAAGCTGACAACTTTGCTACACAAGGACATTCAGGAAAATTAATTTAAAAGGGAATTAAGCTAAACTGACTTAAGGCCACGAATTCTAAATGAGAGTGTCTACACAGGAGTTTAATGCAGTTTAACAAATTCACTTTAAATTCATGTTTAGTTTATTCTGATTCCCTTTTCTGAGTCTCCCCATGTGGACAAGCCCTAAGGTTACAATGTTCAGCACTCAAATCAGGAAATGAAAAGGCTTTGGCTACAACATAATATTGTAATGTTAACCTGGGCATGTTTTCGCACATCGTTCCCTATCACAGAGTGATGTGGCTCCCTTTTAAAGGACCTTGTCTCATCACCTGGAGATGGGGGAGGCAGGTAGCCTGGGCCAGCGCTAATAAGGGAGAGTTGAATAATAACTGGACCATGAGGATCAGTTGAAAGGTTTTATCTATTTGATGACTATCACCTGGTTAAGGAAGCATGTGAGACTAGAAAGAGGAAGGGCTGGTGGCTTCAAAAGGGGGAAATGGCAGTGAGAGAGGGAAACTAGGACTCAAGGTAGCTGAAACTGCAGGGAAAAGGGAGGACCTTGGTCAGTGGACCCTGAAAGAGGAGCTGGGACTGAAGGTAGTTGTGCTGCAGGGAATGAGAATGCCCCGGAAAGAGTGGCCAGGACTCAAGGGGTGCTGGTGCAAGGGGAATGAATGTCCCTGGGCAGCAGGGCTCTGAAGGAAAAGGATCTAGACAAGGGGATGTTAGGCACCGTGGGACAAGGGTCTGGTAGAGAGGGTGATGGCTGAGGGGTAGGGTGACCACCCTTTCAAAACATAAAAACAGGGACACATGCAGGAGCCCTGCCCCAGCTCTTCCTTTTTTCCAAGGTCCTGCCCAGGCCAGAAGCCAGAGCCAGGCCACCATAAGAGCTTCCCAGGGAGCCCAGGCCACTCTGAGGAGCCCCGGACCCTCCATCTGCTCTGGGTGAGGTGCTATGGTGCCCAAGAGCAGCCACCCGTCTGTGTCCCTGCCCTCCAGGGTGCGCTGCCCAGAGCAGGTGAAGCGTCCCGGGCTCCCCACGGTGACCTGGGCTCCCTGTGTGGCTCTTGCTACTGCTCGGCTCCGGCTTCTGGCCTGGCCACGGGTGGGACCGCAGGGGGAAGAGGAGCGGGGGGGGGTGCTTCATGGTGGGGCAGGGGCCCACCTTAGACCCCCCCCCCCGGGAAGGGGCTGCTGCCGCCCCCGAGCCTCAGGCAGGAATGGAGCAGCGCCACATGGAATCCGGGACAAATGGCGTCCCAGTGTCATCCATCCTAGGACCTTAGAGACTAACCAATTTATTTGAGCATAAGCTTTCGTGAGCTACAGCTCACTTCATCGGATGCATACTGTGGAAAGTACAGAAGACGTTTTTATACACACAAACCATGAAAAATTGGGTGATTATCACTACAAAAGGTTTTCTCTCCCCCCACCCCACTCTCCTGCTGGTAATAGCTTATGTAAAGTGATCACTCTCCTTACAATGTGTATGATAATCAAGGTGGGCCATTTCCAGCACAAATCCAGGTCCCCGTCCCCCCCTCCCCAAAAAAAACAAAAAAACCTCTCCTGTTGGTAATAGCTTATCTAAAGTGATCACTCTCCTTACAATGTGGGCCCACACATTGTAAGGAGACTGATCACTTTACATAAGCTATTACCAGCAGGAGAGTGGGGTGGGGGGAGAGAAAACCTTTTGTAGTGATAATCACCCAATTTTTCATGGTTTGTGTGTATAAAAACGTCTTCTGTACTTTCCACAGCATGCATCCGATGAAGTGAGCTGTGGCTCACGAAAGCTTATGCTCAAATAAATTGGTTAGTCTCTAAGGTGCCACAAGTACTCCTTTTCTTTTTGCAAATACAGACTAACACGGCTGTTACTCTGAAACCAGATTTTATATATACACACAGACCATGAAAAAATATACATTGTAAGGAGAGTGATCACTTAAGATGAGCTATTACCAGCAGGAGAGTGAGGTGGGGGGAGAGAAAACCTTTTGAAGTGATAATCAAGGTGGACCATTTCTAGCACATTTCCAGGAGTTAACAAGAACGTCTGAGGAACAGTGGGGGGAATAAACAAGGGGAAATAGTTTCACTTAGTATAATGACTCAACGACTCCCAGTCTCTATTCAAGCCTAAATTAATTGTATCCAATTTGCAAATTAATTCCAGTTCAGCAGTCTCTCGTTGGAGCCTGTTTTTGAAGTTCTTTTGTTGAAGGATACTCACTTTGAGATCAGAAATTGAGTGACCAGAGAGACTGAAGTGTTCTCCGACTGGTTTATAAATGTTATAATTCTTGACATCTGATTTGTGTTCATTTATTCTTTTACGTAGAGATATGTGGGCACAGTTGGCAACGGGCTTTGTTGCAAGGATAGGTTCCTGGGTTAGTGGTTCTGTTGTGTGGTGTGTGGTTGCTGGTGAGTATTTACTTCAGGTTGGGGGGCTGTCTGTAGGCAAGGACTGGCCTGTCTCCCAAGGATCTACAACCTATCCTGAAGGACGACCCATCACTCTCACAAATCTTGGGAGACAGGCCAGTCCTTGCCTACAGACAGCCCTCCAACCTGAAGTAAATACTCACCAGCAACCACACACCACACAACAGAACCACTAACCCAGGAACCTATCCTTGCAACAAAGCACGTTGCCAACTGTGCCCACATATCTATTCAGGGGACACCATCATAGGGCCTAAGCACATCAGCCACACTATCAGAGGCTCGTTCACCTGCACATCTACCAATGTGATATATGCAATCATGTGCCAGCAATGCCCCTCTGCCATGTACATTGGGCAAACCGGACAGTCTCTACGTAAAAGACTAAATGGACACAAATCAGATGTCAAGAATTATAACATTCATAAACCAGTCGGAGAACACTTCAATCTCTCTGGTCACTCTATTTCTGATCTCAAAGCGAGTATCCTTCAACAAAAAAAACTTCAAAAACAGACTCCAACGAGAGACTGCTGAACTGGAATTAATTTGCAAATTGGATACAATTAACTTAGGCTTGAATAGAGACTGGGAGTGGTTGAGTCATTATACTAAGTGAAACTATTTTCCCTTGTTTATTCCTCCCCGCCCCTGCCCCACTGTTCCTCAGACGTTCTTGTTAACTCCTGGAAATGGCCCACCTTGATTATCACTTCAAAAGGTTTTCTCTCCCCCACCCCACTCTCCTGCTGGTAATAGCTCATCTTAAGTGATCACTCTCCTTAACAACGTATATTTTTTCATGGTCTGTGTGTATATATAAAATCTGCTCACTGTACTTTCCACTTTATGCATCCAATGAAGTGAGCTGTAGCTCACAAAAGCTTATGCTCAAATAAATTGATTAGTCTCTAAGGTGCCACAAGTACTCCTTTTCTTTTTGCAAATACAGACTAACACGGCTGCTACTCTGAAACCATCCTAGGACCAGGACTTGAAATGTGCATTTCGGGCCTGTCCTGCCCAATTCAGGATGGGTGGTCACCCTACCGAGGGGCGACAAGGACGCCTGAGCAACGAAGAGGTGAACCAGAACTCCAGCTGCACAATGGCTGAAGGACTGTTCCATTGGTGGCCACAGATGGGTTCCTTTTGGACTAGTGAGGTAAAAGACACTCCACGCCTGACAGGGCTAGACACTAGAAGGAGTCTGACTGGAGGCCAGGCCAGGCCTCGATGGCAAGCGCAGTGTTGCCAACTCTCCTGACAACCTCAGCTAGGGCTGGAGCCAGTCTGGCGATGACTCAAGAGACTCCAGCCCTCTAGCAAATCTGAGCCCTCTGGCTGCCTGCCCCACCACCTGGGGCAGCATAACCACTCCTAGAGAGGTGATACTGCAGCTCATGAACCGCAAGTGGCTCTTTAATGTGGTTCCTGTCACTCTTTGCAGATCATTATATTAAAACACTGTGTCATTTAATTATTAACCAGTCTAAGGTATTAACCAATCAGGATGCTTTTACAATATTATTGACCAATTAAGTTAAAGTTATTAACTTATTTGCTGTGAGAATAATACATATAAACTAAATAAATAGTTCCCCTGTGATACTGTGTAAATATGAATCTCTAGTACTATAGTAAATGAAACCATGAATTCACACGACTGTGGCTCTTTTGGGTAATGCTGGTTGCTAATTTGGCTCCTGAACCACTGAGGTCTGAGTATCATTGCAACTCAAAGCCACTCTCACAGGAGGGGAGGAAGGAGCTAAAGAATCCAGCAGAACAGTGCAGCTCCAGTCCTCCTTGGGATGGGTCCTCTGCTCCTCCCCTCCCTCCCTGCAGCACCCAACCTGGGAAGGGGCATGAAGACCCCCTGGTGCTGCTCCTCCCCCAGCCTGGGAAGGTGGAGTGTGCACTCCCCTGCAGGAGCAGGAGGGGGGTAAAGTGCTCAGGAGGAGCAGAGGTGAGGCAGGGTAAGTGAACTGATGGAGCAGGGGGCTGAGCTGATGGGAGTGGCAGGCAGAATTAGCTGCTGGGCAGGGGACGGGCAGATATGGGGCTAAGCGCTCCCGCAGCGGGGCCCAAAATCACCATGCCCAATAAATTTGGGAGAGGGGGCAAGACTAGTTGTCACACACACACACTGGGGATGGGTGGGGGAGATCAAAAGATCAAGAGACCCCCACAAAATTTGCAATATAGGGGGTGAAGATTTTTTTTTTAAAAAAAAATCTCATGATTTGGGTGGGGGTCTGACTCATGCACTTTGATCTTTTGACACTGGCAACACTGCGTATGTGCCGGGGTGCTCTGGGGTCAGTATACTTTGTGACATTGCTATTGAAAGCAAATGGGAGTTGGGCGCCTAAATCAGAGGGTACATCTACACCGCAGCTGGTGGTGTACTTTCCGGCTTGGGTAGACGTACCTGTGCTAGCTTTGATCGAGCTAGCATGCTAAAACCAGCAGCGTGGCCAGGGGGCAGGGGCTAGCCACCCATGTATGTACCTATGGTCTCAGACAGGATTACACTTGAGTGGCCAGCCCGTGCTGCTGTGACTATGCTGTTTTTCGCATGCTAGCTTGCTCAGAGCTAGTACACGCACATCCACCTGTGCTGGAAAGTACACCTCCAGCTGCAGTGTAGAAGTACCCTCAGTGACACTTCCCAGCTCCAGAGCAGACCTGCCCTCAGACAGGTTTGAAAATTGTACCCATTATCCTTCTCAGACCCCAGCTTTTGAGTGTTTAAACTTAGGAGCCCAACTCTCCTCAAGTCTCATGGGGATTGATGTTAACTCCTCTAGGGTCCATTAAAAACTGCAGACTAGGATTTCTAACTTCAACTAGGCACATTTATATTTTACGTTTCCCTCTTTTTCTCTGAGGGGGAGAAAAGGAAAAAGCTAAAGGTGGCTTCTAAAACTCAGGGCACCTTCTGCCACACAAGTCTTGCACTTGCAGAGGTTATTAGAGTTACAGTTGCCTGACACTTCCCATTATAAAAACCTGTTTTCATAATGTTACAGGGTTTATGAACTCTGCTAGGACAGGGCTTGTAACAAACAAGACTCATAAACATGGCATAAAATTGTTTGTTTCATACCCAGATATGCTTAATGCTTACACTGGGACTGTTGTCTTTCAGACAGTAGGCCACATTCTGAGAGACTTAAACTCCCTCCCCAAACTCCATTCATAGAATTTGGCCCATGGATTAATCCTCCTCCACCCTGTGAGATGGGCAAGTAAATATACCCATTATCAAGATAGGGATACTGAGGCAGGGACATTAAGTGACTTGTCCATGGCCAAAGGGGAGTCATTGTCACAGATGGGATTAGAGCTCAGGAGTTCCTATTCTAGGTTTGGGAACAGGTTACCTCCTCCATCTCCAAGCACATAGATTTTATGTACTGAATTGCTCCCCTCGTTGCTGGCTTGTTGAGGAAAAAATTAAAACCAACCTGCAAGATTTCTTTTTTGTTTTTGTTTTTTAAAGCCTGTTATGTGCTCAAACAACAGATTTTTTTCTCCCACTCTGCAGAGTTCACCCTCCTAACTGAGGCTAATACAATCCTGGAATTGCATGCAGCTAGCTTTCAGCGGACAGAACTTACTCATAGACGGCTTCCAACTAGGATAGAGCCTGATCCTGTGTGGTGCTGAGTATAGTACCTTCAACTCTCATGTAAGTCACTGAGAGATGAGGGTGCTCAGCACCATGCAGGTTCAGACCCAGAAGCAGGTTCTGGACTGGAAGCTGTCTTTGGAGTAAGTTCTATCAGCTGAAAGCTAACTGCACATAAATTAACTACTGGACTGTACTAGCCTCAGTTAGGAGTGTAAACTGCCAAATGGGAGGAAAACTTCCACTGTGTAAATGCAGAACAGACTCTTCAGAAATGCTAACAACTTGGGGGGCTGTCTGTGGGTTTGGGTTTTTTTTGCAGCAAAAAGGACTATTGGCCTGCAAATTCCTACACTGTAAAGTCCAGCCAGTTGAGCATAGGAATGGGGGAGGAGGAGAAAATCATTTAAGCATTTCAATTTTTCATCCATTCATCAATGACTACAAAGTTGTGGTTTTTGTTGCGCATTTTTTTTTGTGCCCTTATACCCCTTGCATCTTTTGGCTCCAACTAGAAAATGTTAAGATCACATCAGTTCCTGTGAGGTTAAGTGCTATACAGTTCTTACTGCATTCATCTGGCAGAGAACCAATCTGATCTTCTGTTTTACTGCTGGATTATTTAAGGGTTGAACAGGTTCAATTAAGAAGTGGAAAAGGCTCTGCCTCACAAGGTACATAGTTAGTTAGCTGTGAAGACCATCTTGGGACCAGCCTCTCTCTAGTCCCACTGCAGAGCCTCATGCTGGACACGCAGTTTAGAAGCACGTTGTGTTTTGGGATGAAATAGGGCAGAAGTTTTCAACCTTTTTCTTTCTGAGCCCCCCACTATAAAAATTCCACAACCCACCTGTGCCACAGCAATGGTTTTTCTGCATATAAAAGCCAGGGCCAGCATTAGGGGGTAGCAAGCAGGACAACTGCCCAGTGCCCCACATATGGGGGCCCCCACAAAGCTAAGTTGCTCAGAATTCAACTTCAGCTGTGGGTGGCGGGGCTCAGGGCCTCAGGCTTCAGCCCTGCCGGGGCATGTGGGGCAAGGAACAGGGAACACTGTCAGGTCCTGGGCAGTTGCAGAATTGACACCTGGAGAGTTTTATATAAATGGCCACTCTACCATAGCTGTCAGTTCTGATTTCTCATTAGTAAGGCTTTGAGTCAATCATGGATTCTGTGATTTTCACAAGACCTCTGCAATTTCCTCAAAATTCCACTGAAGCCAAAGCCCGAGCCCCACCGCCTGTAACTTAGCTTTGTGGGGCTCCGGGGAATTGCCCTGTTTGCTACCCCTTAATGCTGGCCCTCTATACATATCCACGGTTTATTGTTTATTTCCCACATCCTGCCTGTGACTTTCAATAAAATACCCTTGCCAAAATCATGGCCCTACTCCTTAGCAAAACCACTGAGACAATGCGACAGGAAAAGGAGTAAACCTCATGCTCGCTGGAGCAATGAAGCTGGAGGGATATTCTCTGTTCCTTGAATCCTGCAGGACAGTTGCTTCAACTGACCTACAGACCCAGTTACATACATTACCATCACCATGATGGTGGCTGAGTTCTCTCAAACTACTTAATTCCCACCCGCCCATTTCCACTTAAAGTCTGATTCTACAGTAAAATTACGCCCAGACAATTTGGAGGCCTAGGACTGCAACAGGCAACACCTACCTTTGCATGTAATCCCATGCTCTGACTAAGGCTATGCAGCATGACAGGTATGGGAAATGTACGCTAAGAGGAGAAGGAAACCACAAGATTAGTGGTGTCCCCTGCAGACATGGGAAGAGAATTTCGTGCTAGTGAAAGGTGACAGTCTATTTGACCTCTCTACTTAGTCACAGAGCAGATACAGCATGGAAGCTGCAGTGCAAACTTCCCCACACTGCCTCAAAGCTGGAGGGACCCCCCTGTAGGCATACAGAATGGTAGTTTAACCTCCATGGTCCATTTTAAACCCGGGCCTCTCAGCTGGGACTGCCACCAGTGGGACCAGCTGTGGGATTTTTGTAACTTGGTTACCTGCTGAGCAGATGATTTTCAGACCCTGCTCATTTCACACAGGGCACTGAAAAGGCATTAGATGTTAACAACCAAGTTACTGATCTGGTCTGGATTCAAGCCGGTGAGGTGTAAGCTAAGGGTGAAATTCACCCCAGTGCAAAGGGCCTAGTTGCCAGTGGGATTTGACTGGCAAACAGGCCTCATGCTAGCCCTCCATGAGTGAATAGTTGTACCAGCAGCACAGCCATTCAACTCAGCGAGAGCAGAGGATCCTGAATTGTGGACCCAGTCAGTCATACACAAACACATGGCAAGAAGGAAGGGGAGAGCGAACACAGACCCCATCACGAGGCATGGCTGGAGGAGAAAGCCAGAAGAGCCCTCAATGGACCACGTTTGAGTTCAGGGTAGTATCCTTGTTCAGGTACCTGCACAGGAGCTAGTGCCCAGCCCCTCTCCATGCACCAGCATTTTAAAGTTGGGCAAAGCAGAGGTCAGCTGCGTTTTCTTGACGTTCATACACTTCAGATTCTGCAAGGAAACTCCTTCTCTCAGAGCTGGCAGTAGGAATCCTGAGATTCACAGGACAACAAGCTCTCTCTTGTAGAAAGCCTCCACCTGTCTCTTTGGTACCCCCTTCCACTGCACTGGCCCACAGACAGGTGTGAATAAGAGCATCTGCAGAACGGGTTGCAAATTTCACTGTCTCAGATAAGGGTCCATCAGCGACGGCTTGCATGGTGGGTTGAGGTGCAGCAGGAGAAGGAAAGTATATGAGAAGGCAACTGGTGACAACAAGGATGGAGAAGAGCATAAGGGGGTCAGGCATCTGAGGCCTCATTTCCAAAAAAGACTGAATAGTGTGTTTGAAATTCCACCCTCCAGCCTAGCCTTAAATATGCCAGTTAAAATTCCTATGCAAGAGAAAGCTAAGCATGAAGTTTACAGTTGACTTTGAGGCTGAACAAAGTGATGTTCTATCTCTCCACCCTGCTCAACTCCTAATTCCGCAGATGCTTATAGAATAGGAAAGCCACAACAGAAGCGAATGCAGCAATGGCAGCTGGCAGTATATAGTCCTTCAAGGGGAAGGATGTCCCATCACTGTCTCGCTTTGGCCTGTTAATGTTCGAGCCAGAGCTGGCTGGAGATGGGTTCTCATAGACACTGGCTACAACCCTCAGGCTGGGAGCCTCCTCCAGATCAGCGCCAGGATACTCAACCACATGGACTTCGTGAGTTCCCACAGCTGTGCTGTCCCAGGTGCTGCTGCTCTCTGGCAGAAGGGAGGCTCTGCTGGTTTTGGTAGCCTCGACTCTTCTTGGGCCATTGCTGGTAGCCCAAGATGGGAGGGGGTGGTCAGACTGAGAGGAGTAGTGATTCTCTTCAGGCTGATTCCTCTGGGCTCTGCTGGAGCTGGGGCAGGCACTGCTGGATTCACTTATCATTAGGGGATTGCTGCCCAGAGTGCACTCGCTGCTGAGGAAGAAGCGGTTGGACCTCCCAGAATATTGGACATTTGTCTCGGGTGACTCTGGCTGCCTCTGGGCTGGCTCCTCCACACCTCCGGTGGAGGTTAGCACACCTGGCTTGCTGAGCTCCACCTCTTCATCCGGCTCACTGTAGAACACTTGGCAGCCCCCAGGGGAGCCTGGCAAGGCGTTTTGGATCTTCCACCCTGCCTCCCTTGCGGTGGTGCGAACTGTGCTCCCAGGGAACCCTGGACTGCTTTGGGTCACAGTCGGAGCAGGGGGCTTTGGTGCTTGATTTGCCTTCAAGAGACAACAACAGGGACTAGTTAGACCACAAACTGAAGCATGTCACCAGAAGCACTGATGGCACCTGACCTCTTGCTTTGGGGCTGAGTGTTGCAAGCCCAGCTTCAGGCTGCCCCCAGCTTAACACCAATCCCTCCCAACACTCTGTGGCTCAGAAGGAAGGGTCATGGCCAACGTTCCCTCTAATTTTTTCCATCCATGTGCGGAATAAATTTTGTTACGTGCACCAAAGTATGTGTGGATGTGCGCCACCAGTAGGAACAAAAAACCTAGATATAATATATATTTTTTAAAAGTTACCATAGGGATATTACTCCAGCCAGGAGAGGTTGGGCATTATAGAACTCACTACTCAAAGAATTAAATTTAAGTGTAAGAGAAGTAAAAATTATGAAATGCATAGACCAGTCAAAACAGAAAAATAACACCCTTTGAAAGAATAAAATTACAGAGAATATATGTGCATTGCACGAAGTACCAAGTAGTAACAATAATAGGGTGAGTGAGAGAGAGTGAGTGTGAGAGAGAGAGACCTGGGTGGGTGGGTGTGTGTGTGTGACAGACAGACAGAGATGGTGTGTGTGCTGGCTGTGTGTGCGAGACAGAGATAGTGTGTGTGCCATGCGCTGTCTCTTTAAGCCACTCACTGAACGCTCTCCTGCTCTGTCCTGAGCCCTATTGTCTTGTCTCCCCTCCCCGGCTCTGTGGAGATGGGGTACACGGGGAGGAGGAGAGGAAGAGACAGAGAGAGTGTGAGCTGACTGCTGGGGAAATCTCAGAAACAGTGCAATGTCTCTTTAAGAAGGCACTCAGCCACTCACCATTCAGACCTCAGGAGCTCCGAGGCCTCCTGATCCAGGCTGTCCCCTCTGCCCTGCTCTGCAGAGATGGGGTACAGGGGAGGGGGGACACCCTGACATCAGCACCCTCCTCCCCACTCTGCACAGCCAGCAGGAGGATCCTGGGAGCAGCTGCAGGATGGAGCAACGTGGCGGGAGGGGAACCTGAACACACACTGCTGGCTGTGCATGCTCTGATAATCAGCTGGGTGGCATCTGAATCTCTCCTGCACGGTCGCCCAAGCGCGCAGCTTAACAGGGAACACAGGTCGTAGCTAGCTCCCCTCGGCTGGAGGGATGGGAAGCCTCTGGGCAGGTGTGGAGAGGAGGTTATCAGGGCTCTGGAGGACCCTTTGGGACGGGGAGGTGAGGAAAAGGTGGAAGAAGCCGACTTCAGTGGGCTTTGACTCAAGCCCTTCATATCCATGATTACAGACTGTGCTGCCCGATTCTACCATTAGAACCTCACTCGGTTTAAACAAGGCTCTGGGACAGGGCAAGGAGAATGGAGAGAAAAAAACCTGCAGAAAGGGTCCAGGCTAAAGGGAGCTTGTTCGGCAGGATCTCTCTGAAAGGCTATGGTTCTGCGGGAGACCATAGCTCAGGCAGAACAAGACCATTTGGGGGTCATTGTGTACAACAGGATCAAGGTGAACACACATCCAACACATGTGATAACCTACATTCTCCTTTGGCATGGAGGTGCTGCTGCTGTCTGTCTCTCTCGTTGGCAGTTTGCACTCTTGGACGGGAGATTTCAGCTCACCCAGGTCGCTGTTGAACGCTGGCTCTGACGGGTCAGAGGGCAATGCAGGTGAACTAGGCGGAATCACAGCAGTAGAGGAGAAGCCACTAGGGTCAGGGAATTCCACAGCAGGCATGGCACTGGAGAGCTTGAGAACACTCTTAATGCTAGTCGTACTGGGATGGAGGGGGGAACTGGTTGGAAGAACGTTGCTGGGTCCAGGAGTTGAAGCTGGGCGTAGCATGTGAGCTGCAGGAGCTAGGATCTGGACTTTGCTTTGAGGATCTGGAGGGAAACAAGGCACAACGTGTATTAATCAGGATGTATGAAATGAATAGGAGTTGGGAGTTCCTCCCACTGCCCCCAACAATATTTCACTATTTAACAATGGGAAAGTCCCAGTTCAAGGGAGGGGGTGGTCTCCAGAAGGAGTCTCTTATCTGGTGCCTCTTTATGAAGTCACGTTTCTTGGTGCAGGGGGAAAAATGTTACACCTGCTCCAAACAAAAAGGGAGGGGAGGAGTCATTCTGCATTAGGCCTGCCAAACATGAAGTGCATTGTTAACAAACAACGTGTGCAACAGGGCGCTGAGCCAAAGGGCTCTGATGTCAATGGAAAGATACCCCCAATGACTTCAGAGAGCTTTGGAGCAGGCCCATGAAAGAGAACAGGAGTGTGATTGTGGGGCACAGGGTGATGGGTCTAACGCGGGGGTTCTCAAACTTCATTGCACCGTGACCCCCTTCTGACAACAAAAATTACTACAGGACCCCAGGAGAGGGGACCAAAGCCTAAGCCCGCCCAATCCCTGCCAGCCTGGGGAGAAAAGTCAAAGCCCTCGGGCTTAGGCTTTGGCCCCGGGCCCCAGCAAGTCTAAGTCAGCCCTGGTGACCCCATTAAAATTGGGGTCGCAACCCACTTTGGGGTCCTGACCCACAGTTTGAGAACCGCTGGTCTAATGAGAGGCACTAAGGAACGGACTCAGGTCAGGCATTTAGTAACCTCCATTGTACTGTAATCTGAGCTAAGAGGTTTGGTCAATTCCAGGTAGACAGGTAACTGGGAATGCTACACAGCATCCTCAGAAACATCTGTCTGCTGCCAGCACCATGCGAAGCCCTACCCTTCACACCCCATCCGTCTCGCCCCCACTGAAAGGTAGTAAGGGCTCCAGCTTATAGCTCTCTTTTCTACCTCCCATGTTGACGAAGTAGCTAAGCTCACTGGCTCCCAAATTCATCTCTCTAGTACCTTCAAGCTCTGAGCAAGGTGTTTGGCCCTCGGCCTGGGCCACAGGGAGCAGGTGGATTGACCAGAGTGCTGTGGGGTTCTCTCTTGGTTCTGTCTCTCACAGCACTCTGATCCGTAACACAACTCTACAACCTGGACCTACTGCTGGGGAAAGTCTTTGTAAAGAAGTCAGCTGGGCTAGCATAGACAGCAACAGTCACATTCACTATCTGGTTACAACCAGCATCTCCACTTTGCAGGGGTTCATGGGAAGCCATTTTCTAGTTTTGGTTCATGGGAGGTTGACACCCCCCTCTAGTCCAAGTCCAAACCCAAAGCGAAACTCAGCCCAAGATAGCCAAGTTTGGCTTGGTCCCACGTGGCATGTCACCACATTTGGCCGGTTTTTCCCCTGGCAAACCTGATTGAAGGCAGCGCAGGTTGGCAAACCTGCTGACAAACGGGGCCCAAGTCTCAGGTGCATAACTAGGCCAAGAGACTGTCCCTCACTTCTGGGTGTATATCTGTTTCCTACAGGGAAATTGTACTAACAAGTTACTTTTGCCTGGAACCCAGGCACTGGAGCAAGGAGAGCTGTGAATTCAGAGACACCATGGGAGGGGCCCTCTCTTGACACGGGCAAAGTCTGGCTTTAGCCTTCTGGGTGGGGGAACAGGAAACTCCAAGACTAGCAAGGTGGTCAGCCCCATTCCTCCCTGTCACACTCACCCCAGGTCCCATCTGCCCCATGTCGCTGGGAAACCAGAAGTGGCTTGGGGCTTCAAAACACATGTGGTACGTGGTGCTGCCTCCTTCCCCAAGCCTGGCACAGCCTTGGCCCAGCCCAGCATTGATGAGCTGCGACGAATCCAGCTTTGGCTGCGCTTAGCCAGCGAGTGGACCAGCCAGTTCCACATGGAGTGGAGTGGCACAATACCAAGAACAGCCTTGCACTGAGTCAGGTGCACCTCTAAGTGTACCTCCCCCACACCACAAATTCTGCTTGGGGGTAGGAGAAGCCAGTGGATGCTATGCAGACACTGCAATTCCCACTGCAGCTGGAAGCCAGTGCAATTTTGATCACAGGTTTCAATGTCCCTAACTCATCCCCGGTGATGAAGATGCTGCCCCCTTTGCACCAGGAGCAGACTAAAATGGCCCTGTGTGAATACTGACAGGGAAAGCTCTTACTCCTGCTGTTTGCTGGTACACTGGCAACGCCCGGGGTATCTGCTAGGCACCCGCCCGACCACCCATCCCAGTGGGAATTGATGGTGCTACCTGAGTTCTGCTCAGGGATCCCCTGGGAAGGTCCAGCAGAGGAGCCTGAAGCCAGTTTTTCAGAGGAGCTGGCCAAGCGTGTTCTGCCGAGATCTAATGCTCCCAAATCATGAGCAGTCGCATCCTCGCTGAGGTTTGTGGGGATGGTGCTCGTCGTCTGAGAGGCGGGCGCTGATCCGATTGCAGGGCTAGAGTCAGTCCTTCCTTTGATGGCTCCCAACTCGCCATAACTGTGTGTGCTTTGTGCGGAATCTCTGATTTGGTGTAGAGGAAACGCATCCCTCTCTCCACCATGGTCTTCTCTCTGCCCCTGGGCACGTTTCTGCTCTGCATCAAACTGGGTCTGCAGGAGGACAGGGTTATGAACATCCACCATGCTGCTTGTCAGGTTCCCATTCTCGTAACCCTGCAAAGCCTGAATCTTCTGTTCCCGGAGCGAATCTCCAGCCTGCTGCCCATGTCCGGGGACAGCTCTGTTGGCACTGGCAGCCAGGGGAGAGCGCTCAAAAGAAGAATAGTAAACCTCTTCTGGCTGGTTCTTGAAATCCTCTGGGCTAGGAGCGGCGGCCGGCTCACCTCTCTGAACAGGGTCTCCAGGCATGGATGCCTTTCTGCTGTTCCCAATGTTCAGGTGATTCATGTTCCCAAAATACCCACCGTTCACGCAGACCGGATGCTGCTGGCGGCCAGCCCAGTCCTGCCCCTGTCCCCTTGGGTCAAATACTGGTCTGCCTGGCTGAGCCACTTCCACCTCTCCTCTGGGCACACCCCCACAACCCAGCAGGTGTCCCGCTGGTGATCCAGGAGGTAATTGGACTGCTGCTGAGGACAGACCATCTCCATGGTTACTGCCTTCCTGTGATGCCCTGAGATCAGCTAGTGCTGCGTTCCCAGTGGGTTGGGGACTCTGAGCTTCCCTCCACGGGGTCAGGGCATCTTCTGCAACCTGGAAGAAAAAACGAGATGTGTTTAGACCATAAGAGAATTATTCTTTAGGCCCAAATTGGGATGGAGGCTCCCTCGAGGCACTGGACAGACCCACCCCCAGGCCTTGTTTTGACCCAAGTGTTCGGAAGGAGATAGAGCCCTGGTGTCCAAACTCCTCTCTCCACAGTGCTGCCTCTACACTTAAGCCCTGGTCAACAGGCAGAGCCCCTTGGAGGTGGTGTTTTACCCTCGTCACTGAACTCTGAAGAGAAGCAAGGACTGAATGGACATGGAGACTAGCTTTCCTCCTCGCCTTGGAGGCAGTCACTCTGGGTTCTCCCCTGCCTTGGGGCCTGCGGGAATTAGGGGGTGACAATCCAGCACTTCCCTAGCACCGAGATCGCCTTTGAACCAGAAGGAATCGCCGTGTGCTGGGGCACGTAGAATGGAACAGCTACCTCCGGAGAGAGAACGTGACTGACAGGGTACCCGGCACACGCTGCAGCCACTTCTCTGGGGCAGGAGCGATGGCAGCACCAGCTGGAGAGAGAGAGAAGGGTCCAGACCACCTTCTGGCCCCCAATCTATCAAACCCATGGCAAAGGTGGGTATTGGGCAGCTGGCTGTAACACCCTGAATCTCTGGATCATGTGCACCAGGCTGGAATGGCTGCAGCGCATCTGCTTTGGATGGAATGGGAGCAGTGCAGGAGCCGGGATCTGGCTGACTTCTAGCCTCTTTGAGCGGTCAGAACAGCACAGGGGGCTGGGACACAGGCAGGAACTCGGCCCAGTTTTAAGAGTCAGGTTCTTGTCAACCAAACCCAAGAGATATGACGCCACAGGACACTCTCAGAGACCAACAAACCTTTTGCTTTGCTAACGGCTCCATTTCTTGCACAGGAGTATTGTATTCCCCCAGGTCTTGGTAGCTTTCCACTCCAGACGGATTCGTCTGGAGAGGCAGGGGTGTGTTAGGCTCTGGGAGACTTGCTGGCTGCCTAGGCAATGAAGGCGTGTGGGGATTGTTCTCAAAGGTGGGGCCAGCGCGCTGAGGATGAGGATTAGCTGTCGGTGGAGGCATCTGAGAGCAAACCGACTCGCAGCTGAGCAGAGAGTTATTCACAGCAGGAAGTGGTGCTTTGTTCCGAGGACCTGCAGGAAGAGAGAGCACAGAATATTTGAAGTGATGGGTAATATGGGAGATGGGGAGTACCGGCAGGGGCTGACTTTAGCACTGGTGTGGCCCTAGAAGGGAAGCATTCCGTCTAGTCAGAGGGAAACCAGGCACCGACAACAAATGTACCTTCTCTCAGAGGTGCGTCCTCTATGAGGGAGTGAGGAGTTCTTGCTCTCCATGGCTCGTTCAACCTCCCAGCTCTCAGCTGAGACAGTCAATGAACAGTTGTTGTCACTGTGACAGCACTTCCATTGAAATGGACACGTCCCCTAGCAACTGGGCTGAGACCCACCTCATCTCACCTAGGCTACAGAGCATTTGTGTGTGTCTGGCACACTAAGCCCCGGCTCATTACAAAAATATACGAGTACAAATACAATCTATACGCAGGGTAGGGCATCCTGCCAGGCACAGATCACCCACAGAGAAACCAAGAACTATCGATCTCCTGCTCAACTCTCCCAAGTCAGCCTCCCCCACTTGCTGATCAGCCAGGTGCTGCTCCAGGTGAGCAGATGAGGAGAGGAGCTTGCAGCGTCCCCTGAAGCTCAAAGCCAGGCTGCGGCACGCACAGGAGGATTCCAGGAGGTGACCTTACCGCCACCAGACTTCTCCCATTTGTCCCTGGAAGGGACTGTTAGCTTGAGCACCAAAGCCAAGCACACCATTTCAGACAGGATCCTGCGCTGGACCCCTTTGCCTTCACAAGGTCCCATTCTACCACGCCACTCATTCAACGTGGACTAGCTAGTGAGTGAAGAGCCCACAGTCCATATTTTCTATGTGGATGATGCTCAGGGTTCTCTCCCCATCTTACCCAACCCACTAGTGCGTGGCAGTGCCCTTTACCCTGTGCCTAGCAGAGATGGAGGCTTGGACAAGGCCTGCAAGGCTAAGAGTTAGCCCATGAGCAAGCGCTCGTAGGTTGGCAGAGGCAGTCACAAGACCGGGTGAGGTTTGTTGCTCCTCCCTGCACTGAGTGACTTTGCTGGCTGTTTGTGACACCAGTCTGCAAGCTGGGGATGGGTCTCATCGGCTGTCTAGTGGTCCCAGGCAGTTGGAAGGAAAGATCACAACCCGCTTGAAGGGGGGCCAGACCTCGCTACAGTTTTCCAGGTCTCTGTCACCTGGAGTCTGAATTACTGCAAAGCAGACAACATGGGGCTGCAGCTTCAGGCCATTCAGAAACTCCAGCTATGGCCCAGCACGAAGGTCCAGTAGCCACCTTACCCTTGTGCCCTGCAATTCTACACGTGGGATTCAACCTCAGTGATTTGGGGTGCCAACTTCCACCTCTTTCCTTGGGCCGTGCCACTGTAGAGGAGATCAGCTGAGCAGCTGGAGCCAGCAGCCTGTAGGTTTTAACAAGGGGAAGGGGCAGGTGCTGTTTCTGAGGAGAAGCCTCCAAGGTTTGGAACCTGCTAGCGTAGCCAGGACCTGCTGACTTCCAGAGCAGATGCATCACCAAGCTTTCAAGAAGGAGGTGGGTCGGGAGAGGGGTAAGCGGGTGAAAGGCTGGGGTTAATTTATTAACCCTGCGGGCAGGAGGGATGGAGGAGTCAGACTTTGCTACTGGTGCCGGTCTCCACAATTGATTGGAGTTGTATATTTAAAACTTACACCCTCCTAATCACAGCAGTGATAGCCCCAAAGAGACTTCCAGGAAATGGGAAAGAAACAGAGGAAGGATTGACCAGTGGTTAGAACATAAGAATGGCCACACTGGGTCAGACCAAAGGTCCATCTAGCCCAGTATCCTGTCTTCCAACAGTGACCTTTGCCACGTGCTTCAGAGGGAATGACCAAAGCAGGTAATCATTAAGTGATCCGACCCTGTCGCCCATTCCCAGCACTAGCCTGGGCCTTGGGAGACCAGAGTTCAAATCCCAGCTCAGCCACGGACTGCCAGTATGACTTGGGCAAGTCACTTAGCGCCAGATCCTCAGAGGTGTTTATTCAATTTCAATGGGAGTTTGGTGCTGAAACCTGCTTTGGTGCTTTCGCAAATCCCACAAGGTGTCTACTGGCAGCTTTAGGCCTCTCTGACAACTTGGCCCCCCTGTACCTGTGGGATAACAGCCCTGCCCTACCTCACAGTCAAGACTGCAAGGCGTTGAGATACTGTGGTGATGCTAGAGAGAGTCCCAGGGCCAGGCAGGTAAGAGAGCGCAGCATGTATTAAGGGACAGGTGCTGCAAGGAAACTTACGGACTTGGTGAGCATCGTACTTGCACTGAACCCTGTCTGCGAGATCGTGGTGCCTGTTCTTCCTGAGCGCCTCAATGAGCTCCTTCACCCAGCCATTCCTGCATTTCAGGTAGAAGAAGAGCTCCCACACGGCGTGCTCGTTCCCTTTCCTGTCGTCGTGGGCTTCGATCTCTTCCTAAAAATCAGCAGGGAGAGAACGCTGAGAAAGGGGCTGGCTACGGGGCGTTTCATCGGTCTCAGAAGGAGTCAGACAAAGCGCTCGGCCGCTCAGCACCTGGGGTCCTGCTCAGGCCGAGGCATTTAGCCAGGAGTCAGCTGGCAGGATTGCTCAGGGCGAGAGGAAGCTCCAGGAGCCATGGCGCAGTTTGGCAGAGTTCTGTGTTGTGTACTAGGAGGTGGCCCTGTGCTGGAGCAGCAAGGGGAATTGCAAGGCAGGATGGTAACATGTTACTGGGTCTGTGTAGAGCCAGGACAAGCAGGGGTGCCGCAGTTCAGGAGGGGGGTGCTCAGGAAGGAGGGATGACAGAGCAGGAGGGCTGGAAGCAGTTACAGCTCACAGAACCTTGAGCACCCTCCATGTTGTACCCTACATTCCACCTCCCCATTGCGAGGACTGCAGCCAGCGGGAGCTCTGAACAGGGGAGCAGACGAAAGTCAGGAGCAAGCCAAGGCTGGAGAGCAGCGGGAGTAGAGGTTCGGTTAGGGAGGGAGGAGGGAACAGAGTAAGGAAGGGGGGGCAGGAAGGGGCACTATTTTTCAAACCCTGCTGTACGGCTCTCCCTTTACCTTTCAAGGTTTTTTTTTTTTGGGGGGGGGAGGGGGGGGTCAGTAACTGAGGGTCAGCGGCCCGCCTGCTAGTCAGAATACAGCCATGCACGCCAAGACCATACAGTCTCCATGAGCTGCAGTGGCCACAGGCCTAACAACTATATTAACCCTCATACTTCACGGTTTAAGCTGATCACTATTAGGGATCAGGAGATCATCTTTCTGCGGGGACAGACTACCCCACCTCTGCCCACTGCAGAGTTCTTGCATCTTCCTCAGAAATACCTGGTGCTGCTCGCTGTCAGAGACAAGACACGGGACCAGAGGCACCGGATCCAATCTGGCAATTCCTAGGTTTCCTAATTACCTGGGCTGTTCTTAGCTGGCAGGGCACGCTGGTTGGTTACCTGCACCTGTGTTGCAGGAAGAGTCTGTCCCTGAGATGCAGACAGAGAGCCCAGGCTGCAGAAAGCAGCTCCCTGCTCTAACTAGGTAGAGACTTCGTGAGCAGCAGCAGCTATAGATACAGCTGCCACAAAACACTCCCACACATGGTGGTTTTCTCCCTCTTTCTTACCACACACAGAGCTCAAACCAAGAATTCTCCTTTACTGGCAGCACAATCCACAGAGAGAGAGAGAGAGACAGACTCCTTAAAAACAAGACAGACTTCTCAGGTGTCCTGCCCAGGACGGGGGCATTTCATGCTGGGGTTGGGACTGGATATGACATGAGTGTCCATGGCTGCTCCAGGGACAGATTGCTGGGTAACATGACGCCAGCTCTGTGTCTCCCATCCCCACCCCCTCCACCAGTTGGTTAGTTTTCCCTCATCACTTTTCAATATTTAAATATATATATATATATATATATATATATCTCTGAGACTGTAAGGATCTCTCTGACTTGTGCTCCTTCCTAGTTACAATTCTGGCATCACTGTGTCCCACTGGCTGCATGGCTACTCCTTCTGGGTTTGGACTGGGCGTTATGCCTCCCAGTATCCACCTCTAGTTTGCAGCCACCATCCAATTCTGTAGCTGGCAAGAGACTGCCTTAGTTTTGCACATCGCCCTGTGATGAGGGATCTGGCAGTGTAACCCACTGGTCAGCATGCATTGTGTGTCCCCCTCTCTGTGCCTGCACCATAGAGGATGTGAGCCTAGTTACTTGGGAGACTTGATGCTTTAGCTCAAGCTGTGACAGTTCAAGCTTCTAGCTTTGGAGGTCACAGGTTAGATCCCCAGCCGGTCGGCCCCCACACTAGCATGATAGTTCTGGCCAGGAATCTAGAGCAGTCTAGCTTGTTGTTTTCTATTTGTTCTTCCCAGCGATTTGTACATTGGTGTTTTCAGCATTGATCTAGCACGTTGAGCATTTTCCAGTTTGGGGCGAAGTTGCTGGTTCCGCGAGACAGGAGGTTAGAGTTGTGGAGGGATGATATCTACTGTCACCCCAACCCCGTTCCCACACACGTGTGCCTGAACTAGCCTGGCAGGTTCAAAGAAGAAAACAGAGGTAAAGAATAAATAAATAATTACCCTGTCTGCATCAGAGAGACACGGCAGATGGTGAATCAGCTGGCGCACCCGGATGCGATGGAAGTCGTGCATGTTTTCCCTAATGTAGTCATAAACCTTGTCCTCAGCAAACCCCATCTTTGCTTCGCACCTAGGAGCGAGAAGATCAATTTAGCAAAAAAATCCAACACACAGCAGTTGTTATTAGTTAACTTTTATATTACAGGTTGGCCCACTGTGCAAGGCACTGCACAAACACAGAAAAAACAGATGATCCCTACCAAAAAGAGCTTACAGTCTCATAATAATAATAATTGGAGCTACTCAGAACATTTTTATTGAAAAAAATCCTATGAAAAATGAAAACTTTTTCTATTAAAACTTTGTATCTAACACAGGGATCGGCAACCTTTGGCACGCAGCCCAACAGGGAAAGCCACTGGAGGGCCAGGCCAGTTTGTTTACATGTGGCGTTCACAGGTTCGGCCCATCACAGCCCCCAATGGCTGTGGTTTGCCGTCCCAGGCCAATGGGGGCTGCGGGAAATACGGCCAGCACATCCCTCGGCTTGCACTGCTTCTCGCAGCCCCCATTGGCTTGGAGCGGCAAAACGCGGCCGGCGGGAGCTGCGATCGGCCGAACCGGCAGACGCTGCAGGCAAACAAACTGGCCTGGCCCGCCACAGTCTCTCTCTGACAGGCCACGTGCCAAAGGTTGCCAATCCCTGATCTAACAGCACTTCGCATCTAGTCAGTTTCACTGTATGATCAATTGTTCATATTGGGCTTTCACACAGCAAGAGACACATTTTTAAGAACAGGAAAATGGCATTATAAAGCCATTATTTTTACAATTAGGATTAGATTTGTTTCAGACTTAATATTGTGGCTGCCTTGAGAGTTTACAAATTATCTGATTTTAAGTAAGGGATTTCAGTCAGTTCAGTATGTTGATATATTACGCATTGCAGCACTAGGTTTTCTATGCAACTCTTGCTACAGTAGGAATGTTGGCCCTCAAACTGTATACTACTAGAACCTCCTAAACAGTATAAATAAAAGAGTTATCGCTTGGGCTGTGAAGTGATGTGGTATTCTACACAGCAAACACTTGCAGTTTCCTGAGAAAGAGAATCAAAGCATGTTCCTCAGTGAAACCAAGAGATGAAACTGGATGGAGTTTATGACAGAGAAAACTGATACAGATAAAGCGGATGAATGAGATAGTGGATAGCACGCCGGATTGGGAGGGACTTGGGTTCCAATCCCAGCTGAGCATAGGCAAGTCACTTAGTCTACCTTGTCCCTTATCTGTAAAGTAGGCATAATACCTTCCTTTCCTGACGTGCTGGAAGGATAAAATCCATTAATATTCGTGAGGTGCTCAGATACCATGGTGATGAAGGCCACAGAAATAACTGGACAGATCCTTGCAATTTGCTGGGCTCACCTGTATTGGCTAAAACAGGGTCTGTCTGTTCCAAGCAATGGAAAGAAGGTCCTTTTCCTTGCTGCCTCTCTACTCCCAGTGTTCCAAATTTGAATTAATGGCCATTAAACCAATGGTGGGCAACCCATGGGCCACACGCAGCCCATCAGGGTAATTTGATTGCGGGCAGTGAGACATTTTGTGGACGTTAACCATCTGCAGGCACGTCCCGTCCCCCCCCCCAGCTCCCAGTGGCCGCGGTTCGCCGTTCATCGCCAAAAATACTGGGCCGAAGTCTGCTCTCAGGTAAAAGTGTAAATACAAGGTAATTCCACTACCATCCATGGGGTTGATTTACACCAATGTCACCAAAAGCAGAATTTGGCCCACTCTCCCTGCAACTGCTGTCGCAAACCGGATTTGTCACGTCAGCATCTTCTGCTCTGAACTGGCTTCAGCCAGTTCCTTGCCCCAGCTTCCTTTAGAACTGTCAGCAGCAAACATGTGATTGCGATAGGTCTGCTCCAGCCCTAGTGCTCAGTTGGGGATTAATTATCCCCATAAGAGCACTGGCTACCTCTCCAGTACTTAGACAATGATCCGGTGGTCAGAGCAGATATAAAACTGAGGCACTGGGCACATGTAGCGACTGATTAAAAGTGATCTGCAAAGAGGGGGGGAGGGGGGCGGGAATCAAGACAGTCGGTGCTCTTTTTAGTTTCCTTATGATGTAGACCTGGAAGAATATTAATTAGTTTGTGGGTTATTCTCGTTTTTTAAGGGTTTTCCCTGCCTGTTTGTTGTAGAGGTGCCAGGAATGCCCACAACACACTGATCTGGTGTTGAAGACCTTGAAAAGCAGTACATGACCTTCACTAGCCAAGGCAACACATTGTATCAGGGTATCACTTTCTGAAGACATTGGGCTTCATGCTTGTGAATGCAGCGTTGTTCACTTCCTTTCATTTCAGTCTATCATGAGAACACTTTTGTGTTCCGGGAGAAATCTTGTGCCATTTTGTCTGATCCTGGAGAGACAAGGTGGGTGTGGTAATACCTTTTATTGGACCAACTTCTGTTGGTGCAAGAGAAACTGATAGAGAGCTATTCTTCAGAATCCACAAGCAGCATCTGGCAGTTCAGCAGCAAAAATCCGATTGGTCAGTCCAAGGGAATACAAATCTTTATTATTTAGTAGGGATGCACTTGGCATTCGGGAAGAGTACAAGGCACTGCTAGACAAGGATAGTGAATTCCCTTTGTTTTTCATGGAAGTGGTGGTAGTAAGGGGGATATGACAAGGGACACCCATGCTGAGGGAGGGCGTTGGCACCAGACTTCCTGGGAACACGTCACTGCCACTCATCTATCAGCTCTGTCCTTCTCGGTACCCCGAGTAGGGCTGGAGAGGCCGCAGGGAGATAGGAAGGTGGTAACCGTTGGGCTGGGAGGAGCACATCTACCGGCTGGAGGCAGCAAGGGCAAGTGGAGGAGAGTCATAGACTTCGGGGGCTAGCCTCAAGGGAAGGGGCGCGGCACAACCCTCTGCAGTGGAGACAAGTGGATTACAGAGGTGCAAGGTGGACCATTCGGCTCCATGGGATATTCTCAGATGAATCTACAGGCCACGGAGCCAGAAGGGCCGCCTGGGCCACATCCCAACCACTTCTGGGCCGCACCAAACCTCAGTGGTGCTGAGGTTCCATGAGCCACGTTGCAACACCAGTCACTCAGATTTGGAGGGGGTGGGCGAAGGGGCTCATGGGCCAGGGAAATGAGAAGAGAAGAGGATCAGGCAGAGGGGCCAATCAAAGACCCCCATTTTAAATGGTGCTCCGCAGCCCCGTGAATGAGAACACATGACACAGAAGCTCTGAGAGGTGTGGAATGACCCATCCATCTCAGTGGGTGCTCTCCCACTGTCCCCCAAAGCCTACTCCAGCCCCTGCTGTGAAATACCAGTTTTCATGGCACTACTACTATACATAAATAAATAAATACATGCATTTTAGAACACTTTGATTATTAAAATCAGCACTGTACTGAGAGGGCGGGGGGGGCTGTATCTGAGAAACCCTAGACCCCGGTTTGCAACAGGAATTCTACCTCTGGCCCTAACGTGGCACAGCAATACGAAGGCTGCACCAGGTTTTGTATTTATCAGGGGTAAAAATGGGTTACAAAAATTCTGTCTTCTGGGCTAGAGTATAACTTTTAAATGTTTATTGTAGCATGTGCACCGCTTGATTTTTCTATAGCAATTGGGGTGGGGCAGGACGGGGGACGGACGTCATTTGAGGTTTGCTCTGATTTAAAAAGGGCACATGACAAATGTTTAGCATCTGACATCTTCTTCACAGAGACTACAGCGCTTTGACCAGGGTGAAACTGATAGGGGTAAGCTCTTGGCTGAAATCCTGCAGAAAGCTGAAACTCCATTTCCTGTTACTAAGCAACCCCTCTGATCATGACTACTGATGAGCCCAAGCTACTTGCTTTTCTCAAATCCCACTGTGGCTGTGTACACACTACAGTTTAAGTTGACATAAATTATGTCCATCAAGGGTGTGAATTAGCTACCCTCATAATTTATGATGACATAAGTGCAGGTGTGGACAGTGCTATGTCCATGGCAGAGCTTCTCCCACCAACATAGCTACCACCACTCGCATGCGGGGGGGGGGAGGGGGGGGTCTGCCTGTAAAGGCCTGTATTTTAAGAATTTAGGTGTATTTTTATCATTAGCTGGTTATAGAGATATAAAACAAAGACTCAAAATCACAGTCTGCCTGTATATGGGCCTTCTCTCACTAGGATAGTCTGATGCCTTGTTCTTAGGCTAAGGCCTTTGGCTAAGTAGCAGGGGCAGCCATAAGCTGGGAAGCCTACAGTCACATCCTCACATTCCAAACCAGTCACATGGAAATAAGGTGGCATGTGGCTGTTAGGAAGACGATCCTGTCCTGATAGTGCCCATCACTACCAGATAAAGAAACAGATCTTAAGATGATTAAAGAAAACGTAGTTTGATAGCATCCTGTCTGGCAAGAAATCACCTATCAATGGTTGTGAAACCCTCATTTCTGTATTGTTTTATCTTTATGGCCCACACTTTTCTATTGTTAATCTGTCTGTTTCTCTAATTTTTCTGTCTGGTGTATAATTAATTTACCTAAGTGTAAGTTAATTAGGGTAGTGGGATATAATTGGTTAGAGAATTATGTTACAGTATGTTAGGATTGGTTAGTTAAATTTCAGTAAAATGATTGGTTAATGTATAGCTGAGAATATTACTATATAAACCGGGGTCAAACAGGAAGTGGGTGGGAAAATTGGAATCATGCTTGCTGGAAATTAACCCCAATAAACATTCCATTGTCTGCACTTTGGATTCTGGTCTTTTGCTGCTTGCGTGAGAAGAACTAGGGAAGTGGGAGGGTGGAGGCCAAACCCTCTAACAGGGGGGCTGGAGTAATTAAGTAATTAGAGCAGCTGTAAACTCTCTAGAGTAGCCATAGCCTCAGTCCTACCATTCAGGAAACAGACAAGGAGCATGCAGCATGATTACATTGCCCTAATGCTGCTTCTTAGGATAGGTCTACACTACTGCTTGTGTTGGCAGAACCCAAGGATGTGAATATTCCACCCCGCCCAGAGATGTTACACTGACATAAGATCTAGTGTACCCAGCGCTATGTTGGTGGAGACAGAGTTTCTGCTGCTCGTGGGGGTGATTTTATTATGCCAACAGGAGACCTCTCTGTAAGCTTTGAGAGTAAAGGAGCAAGGACTACTGAGCCCAGATTGATGCGGAAAGCCTGGTATAAGTTCGTTAGATTTAGGTTTTGTTTGGACTTTTTTGTTACCCTGAAAGAGGTGAGGATGGAGAGATCACTGAGTGGCCCAAGCTATTGCTGGCAGGGGCTGACGGAGACAGAGGGACTATTAAACCATGCCAGCCACCCCAGAGCACACGGACTGCTGACTGGACCTCATACATTGTCTTTCATGTCTCCTCCATTTTCCTTGACAGTCCTTCTATGAGTAAAATATGAGTCTGCATGAGCTCTATCAGAGGCTCATTCACCTGCACATCTATCAATGTGATGTATGCCATCATGTGCCAGCCATACCCCTCTGCCATGTACATTGGCCAAACTAGACAGTCTCTATGTAAAAGAATAAATGGACACAAATCAGACGTCAAGAATTATAACATTCAAAAACCAGTCGGAGAACACTTCAATCTCTCTGGTCACTCGATTACAGACCTATAAGTGGCAATTCTTCAACAAAAACACTTCAAAAACAGACTCCAACAGGAGACTGCTGAATTGGAATTAATTTGCAAACTGGATACAATTAACTTAGGCTTGAATAAAGACCGGGAGTGCATGTGTCATTACACAAAGTAAAACCATTTCCCCTTGTTTATCTCCCCCCCACCCCCCCGTTCTTGTCAACTGCTGGAAATGGCCCACCTTGATTATCACTACAAAAGGTCCCCCCCCCCCAGCCCCGCTCTCCTGCTTGTAACAAGAAAAGGAGTACTTGTGGCACCTTAGAGACTAACCAATTAATTTGAGCATGAGCTTTCGTGAGCTACAGCTCACTTCATCGGATGCATACTGTGGAACATCTTCTGTATTTTCCACAGTATGCATCCGATGAAGTGAGCTGTAGCTCACGAAAGCTTATGCTCAAATAAATTGGTTAGTCTCTAAGGTGCCACAAGTACTCCTTTTCTTTTTTGCAAATACAGACTAACACGGCTGTTACTCTGAAACCTGCTGGTAACAGCTTACCAAATCACTCTTGTTACAGCCTGTATGGTAACACCCATTGTTTCATGTTCTCTGTGTATATAAAATCTCCCCACTATATTTTCCACTACATGCATCCGATGAAGTGAGCTGTATAGCTCACGAAAGCTTATGCTCAAATAAATTTGTTAGTCTCCAAGGTGCCACAAGTCCTCCTGTTCTTTTTGCGGAATTTGTCTGTGGCTTTGGGCGGTTTCCACCCCATCTTTTATGGGATCTCTTGTCCACAAGAGGTCAGGATCACAGCCATGGATCTCTTTCAAAACATGGCACTCTGAGCACATGATGCTAGGGGACTGGTTCACTACTGACAGCACAATTCATTTAGCCCTTTTACACCTCCTTTGCCAATGCAAAGGGGTTGTGAAGAAGTTAACCCCTCCCATAAATAACACCTGTCCTGGGAGCCTCTCTCTGAGGTACAGGATTGGCTCAGGGGACATTCTGGGATGTGTGGTAACATGTGGGGAGCAAGGCACCAGTGATTCCCTGCATGCCACAAAAGCTGTAGAGGTGAACTGGTCCCCAACAGTCCCCGAATCGAGGAGACCCGTCCTTTCCTCGCTTCCTGAGTTGAACTGAGTTCAGTGCCGGGGTGCCGAGTGCACCTTACTTAATTCCCCAACACCACCTTGAGGTTTCCCTAGGGCGCTCCCGTCCAGGATGGCCAAGCCTAATGTGATGCGAGATCACACTTTGAGGCTGTAATGCCACAACAAACTCCTGCACAAAAGGGGAGTGGGCTTTCTGCCTAAGAAGGAGACACATTTCCACAGATTTTTGCATCCAAAAAGGGGGGGGGGAGTCTCTGCGGAAAGCGGCGCGGGCCGAGGGACGTGCTGCCGCCCTTCCCGCAGCCCCCCCTCGGCCTGGAGCCGTCTTGTTCACTTCTCTGCTCGATCCAGCGAACGCGCTGCTCCACTGACTCCACCCAGCTTGCCCTAGCTTCCTTCAGACTCCCTTCCGCTCAGCGGCGCGGCCAAGCCTTTTGCTAAACAAAGGGGGCCCGCCAACGCCTTTCCCCGCTCCTGCCTCCCGCTGGGGCTGCTGCGGGCGGAGAGAAGGCGTCGGCAAACCTCAGCCAGCCCCCGCCGCAAAATCCGGCCTCGTGCAAGGACACCCGGCGCCACGAGCCGGGAGAGGGCCGGGGGCCGCCGCTCCTTACCTGCGCGCGCGACACCAGCAGCGGAAGGGCCCCCGCCCGGGCACGCGAGACACGCCCGCGCGCGCAGCGACCACTCTCGCGCGCGCCCTCGCTTCCCTCCTGGGGAGCGTTCTAAGCCCGCCCCCCTCCGCGCCCCGGGCTTCCGCCGCCTATTGGCCGCTCTGCCTCGCTCCGGACGTCCATCAAGCGCCCGGCGTGGCCGGAGCAGCGGGGCCGGGCAAAGGGTGGGGGAGAGCGGAGCCGAGCCGAGTCTGCGGGAGGAGTCGGCGTCTGCGGTGCAGGGGCTTCCCGGCCGCCGCGATGGCGAATTACGCAGTGAGGGTTGCTGCTTCCAGCTCCCAGGGGAGGCTGCAAGTGGGTGGCCGCTAGAAGCCTGAATTTTTATTTATTTTATTTTATTTTTTGCCTCCCCAGCCCCCAGAGTCCTCACAGAAGAGGTCAGATCTGCTTCCCTTTCGATCTGGGACCAAGGGGAAGACTTCGGCTACAAGAGGGGAAGGAAAGTGGACAAAGCTTGGTCACTTCTGACCCCTGAAAAAGAGGGGCGGTCGCTGGTTCCAGCAGCTAACTTTTTTGCTACTGTGTGGTGAAAAAAGAGAAATAGGTGACAGATGAAACCGACTTTACTGAATTCCCCTCCCTCTGGCTTAGTGCTCAGGACAAGCATGGTGTTAATAACTTCAGTCATTTGACTTTAACACAGTCGTGCGGGATGCAAGAGAACAGGGGTCATTCTCTGCCCCTTCCCCCCAGTCCTGGAAATCTACCTTCAGCAAAGAAGGATGTCTGTATGGTGGGCAGAGTTAAGGATGTTTAGGTGTCTTGCTTAAAAAGTGCCATTGTGTCTTTGCATTTCCTTGGTTTCTAACATTGGGGAAGATTGGTTGGTTCTTTGTGTGTGTGTGTGTGTGTGCTTTTGCTTGTGCATGAATTTAAAAACAATTTAACGTATTTGAGAGGTTGTATGCACTCAAACCACTTTGTGTCTGCAGCCCTGACTTCACCTACAGTACGAGCACTGGCCAGAGTTGCAGGCTTGTGCCCCAATTCCTGCAAAGACTCATGCACAAGCTTAATTTTACACACTCTGATTTCACTCTCAGTGCATCAGATTTAAGCACATACAAGTCTGTGTGTCCTCTGCACAGTGTGACTTTGCATACACTGTACGTGCAAGATGACTGACGGACCCTGGAATTGAGCTTTGCAGGGGGCCCCAAGGGGACAAACAGTGTCACTGCTGACCACCTGTGAGCAATGACTATCCCATGTTAATGTTTGCAAGAACTGGGGGGCTAGTCTGGGCGTCCTGTGAATATTTCATGGCAGTAAATTACATTCTGTCCCTTTAAGGTCCATTGTTTCAGTTGGATACAATTTTTTTCCTTTATTTCTTGCCCTAAGCTATTGTGTAGTGGTGCCATGCAGTGTTTGGTAGCTGCTGTGTTCCACCCCAGAAGTGGCTGCATTTCAGATGCAAGTGAAGTGATCTCAATATATTCCTTACCTTCCTCACAAGGGCTTGTGTGGCTTAGCTAGTTCAATGTGCAAGACACCTTGAGATCTGCAGATGAACAGGCCTTTAATACTGGTATTTCTGTAAGAATAGGATTGTAAACATGAAAATATGGTGGTTTCTACCTTAATACCAGCTGTACAGAAAATAGCACATCCCTGATGTGACAATCTCCAACATCAGTCAGTTTCTTCAAGGAAGTGAATGGTGCATTCCTGATGGATCCATTAGAGAACAGAAAGGTCCAATCCAACCTGCTCCATAAGCACAGAATGGGGACGTAGCTGCAGAATGCTGGGTCATATTAAATGAATGACAGAGCAGAAGGAAAGCCCAGGCTGAAACGAAGTGGAGTTTGGTGCTTTCAGTGTTGACAGTCAGCCAGCATCCACTCGAGGGTGGGAGCTTTCGGCCATGCCTGGGAAAACCATCTATAGGAACTTCATTTGCACAGGGGAAAAAGCAGGTTTATCAGGGTCTGGTATGGAATAATCTGCCCACAGGGGAAGTGCAGCAGAGCAGCCTGTCCCTTTAAGGGCCAAGAGGCCCTGGGCCAGTCAACCCAGTTCAGCTGCACCTGTGCTGGGTGTGGGACTAAAAAGAGGAGCAAAGTCCAGCACTGGGAGGCAGACATGCATGTATACAGACTCCAGGTAGGAAGGCCTGGGAGTGATTGCTTGGGAAAAGCAAGGAGCAACCGAAAGGAGCCCAGGAAGGGTGAAAGCTAAGCCCAAAGTGTGGGCAGAAGAATGCTTAGAATCATAGGGGTAGAAGGGACCACAAGGGTAATCTACTCTAACCCCCTGCCAAGATGCAGGATTTGTTGTGTCTACTCTAAACCATGCAAGACAGATGGCTATCTAACCTCCTTTTGGAAACCTCTAATGAAGAAGCTTCCATGACCTTCCTAGGCAGTCTGTTCCATGGTCCTACTGTTCTTACAGTTAGGAAGTTTTTCAAGAGATTTAATCTAAATCCTGCTATGCTGTAGCTTGTAACCCCTTGTCCTGCCTTCTGTGTCAAGAGAGAACAACTTTTCTCCATCTTCTTTATGGCAGCCTTTCAAGTATTTGAAGACCGTTATCACCATTAATTTCTTTTCCAAATTAAACATACCCAGTTCCTTCAGCTTTTGCTCATATGGCTTGCATTTCATCCCTTTAATCATCTTTGTCACTCACCTCTGGATCCTTTCCAGTTAATCTATATCCTTTGTGACCACAGTACTCCAGCTGAGGCCTAACTGGCACTGAGTAGAGTGGTGCTGTCCCTTCCTGTGACTTGCATGTTATGCCTCTGTTAATGCAACCTAACATTGCATTTGCTTTTTTTTTTTTTTTAATTTGCAACAACATTGCATTGGTGACTCAAGTTGAAGTTGTGATCCACCACAACTCCCAGATCCTTCTCAGCAGTGGTGCTGCCAAGCCAGTTTTCCCCCATTCTATATTTGTGCATTTGGTTTTTCTTCCCTAAGTGTAGCACCTTACATTTGTTTTGTTGTATTTCATTTTGTTGACTATAGCCCAGTTCTTCAATTTATCAAGATCCTTCTGAATTTTAGCTCTAGCCTCCAAAGTGTTGGCAAACTTCTCCCCTCCCCCACCAGCTTTCTGTCATCTGCAAATTTGATCGGTGTGCTCTCTATTCCTACATCCAGGTCATTAATAAAGATGTTAAATAACACCAGACTCAATACAGATCCCTGTGGAACCCCACTTGAGACCTCCGTCCAATCTGACACCATTCCATTAATAGTTACTCTTTGTTTGCGGTTGTTTAACCAATTATATATCCACTTAATGGTAGTTCCGCTGAGCCTGCATTTCTCCAGCTTACTTCTCAGAATGTCAATTGGGACTGTGCCAAAAGCCTTGTTAACATCCAGGTATATTATGTCTGCCACATTTCCCCCATCCACCAAACCAGTTACCCTATCAAAGAAGGAACTCAAGCTGGTTTGGTATGATTTGTTCTTAGTAAATCCATGCTGGCTGCTAGTGATCACCCTTTCATCCTCCAGGTATTCGCAAATTGAATGTTTTATACATTGATCTAGTAGTTTCCCAGGTATCAAAATCAGGCTTACTGGTCTATAGTCCCCTGGCTTCTCCTTTCATAGGATCATGGAAGATTAGGGTTGGAAGAGACCTCAGGAGGTCATCTAGTCCAACACCCTGCTCAAAGCAGGACCAACCCCAACTATATCATCCCAGCCAAGGCTTTGTCAAGCTGGGCCTTAAAAACCTTTAAGGATGGAGATTCCACCACCTCCCTAGGTAACGCATTCCAGTGTTTCACCACCTTCGTAGTGAAATAGTGTTTCCTAATATCCAGCCTAGACCTTCTTCACTGCAACTTGAGACCATTGCTTCTTGTTCTGTCATTTGCCACTGCTGAGAACAGCCGAGCTCCATCCTCTTTGGAACCCCCCCTTCAGGTAGTTGAAGGTTGCTATCAAATCCCCCCTCACTCTTCTCTTCTGCAGACTAAATAAGACCAGTTCCCTCAACTTCTCCTCATAAGTCATGTGCCCTAGCCCCCTAATCATTTTTGTTGCCCTCCGCTGGACTCTCTTCAATTTGTCCACATCCTTTCTGTAGCAGGGGGCCCAAAACTGGACACAATACTCCAGATGTGGCCTCACCAGTGCTGAATAGAGGGAAATAATCACTTCCCTTGATCTGCTGGCAGTGCTCCTACTAATGCAGCCCAATATGCCATTAGGCTTCTTGGCTATAAGGGCACACTGCTGACTCATATCAGGCTTCTCATCCACTGTAAGCCCCAGGTCCTTTTCTGCAGAACTGCCGCTTAGCCAATCAGTCCCCAGCCTTTAGCAGTCGTCCCCAGCCCTTTTAAAAGATGGGCACTACGTTAGCCCATCTCCAGTCTTCCAGTCTGTTAACCATGAGTTTGTAAATATTATTGCCAGCAGCTCTGAGATTTCTTCAGCTCATTTCTTCAGCACCTTTGGGCAGTGTTCCCTCTGATTTTTTACATCCATGTGCGGAATGAATTTTATGTGCACCAATATGGAGGTGATGTGTGGTGGGGGTAGGGCCGAGGGGTTTGGCTTGTGGGAGGTGGCTCAGGGCGGGGGCAGAGGGTTGGGGTGCAGGAAGGTGAGGGCTCCAGCTGGGAGTGCAGACTCTGAGGTGGGGCTGTTGGATGCCCACATTTACATGCCTTCATTCAGCAGTAGGAGGAGAGTAAAGAGAGGAGAAACTTTATGCAGACACTAGCATCCAGTGGTACAAGTAAGGTGGTCTGGTCCGGTCCGCCGTACCAGTAAGGTATTTATAGCCAGTACGGCATACCGGAAAGACGCAGGAGGAGCAGAATGTGGGGCCACCTGGCGGCCCCTCGCTGGTGGGGCCACCTGGCGGCTGTACCACCCCTAGCCCTTCCACACAGCTGTGTGCCTGCATCTCCTCTCCGGGGTCCGTACAGCAGCCCCCCCAGAGGACAGGGGTGGGGTTGGTACAGCCGTGCCAGAGGAGCTGCCAGTGTGGGGCTGCCTGGTGGCCCCACGTTCTGCTCCTTTTGCTGCTGTGGTTCCCAGGAGCAGAATGTGCAGCTCCTCTGGCATGGCTGTACCACCCCAAC